GCAAAGGAGAGGTTCAGCAAGTCCTGGGGAGGTATCACTGGTTAAAGTTCATTGCAGAGTCTCCTGCAGCCACCTGGGTACAGGACCAGGAGAGGCATCTCCAGCCCTGCATCCTGGGAAGACAGGCTTGGGCACCCCCAGTGCTGAGCTGCAGAGATGAGCACTGCCCAACTGTGTCTGTGACGGGAGGCTGGGCTGGCTCTGCGCCCGCCAGGAAAGGTTTGCTCCTTGGGTCACTCCTGGGTAAAGCTTGCAGCTCCGTTATCAGTTTTTCATAAAATAGCATCTCTGTGGGCTGGAGCTGCACTTGGTTTTGAGAGTCTACCAGGTGCAGGATCAAAAAGGTGGCTGGTTTTACCTGGAGCATGCATGCTTCAAGGGTTGGTTAAAGTCAGACCAAGGCAACGCTGCACACGACGTGTCGGGAAAACCTTCTTGTGCTACTTAACAACTTTCCTTTTTGCAGGACATCAGGAAAATAAACAGCCTGCCAAACCGTGATGTCTGGGTAAAGCAGCCTGGAGACACCCCTAGAGACACCAAGGTAGACATGGGGCTGCTTTGAAAACTTGTGCATTCTCTGAGTCAGGGGCAGAGCTGAGACCTGCCCACTGGTGCCTCACCCACAGTGCATGCGTGGGAGAAGCAGGCTATGGGGGGAAGAGGGGTCGTGTGGGACATCCAGGACCCCATGGCTTGGGGCAGTCAGCAGGAGGGGACAGCTGGAGGCAGCTGCAAGGGTGAGAAGGGGTCTGGTCTGGGAGAGGAAAGGAAGTGGAGTGTGGTGGGATTTAGGGGATGCCTGCCTGTCCCACCCCCTCTTCGGGAAAAGTGTGGTCCTGGTTGAGTAGCTCCCTTTGGGGGTTTGCAGCCTCAGGCCCAGCCTCACCGTTTCTCACTTTCTTTTCCAGTTGTAATAATTTCAGTTCTAATAATATCAGATGATCCGGGGAAAAAAATATTTTGCTCTGAAGATCAAAGCCCAGCACGACCCAACCGTCCAGCAGCCCACTGCCATGAGCAGGTTGTCGCCTGGGTCTTCTGCTTGTGGAATGGGAAGGAAGAAAGATAGAAGATTATCCCTGCACCCCCAGTCCTCACTCACTGCCTGCCTGGGAGTGCCCAGGCCTGGAGACTCCTTGCAAATTCTGAAGGCAGACTCTTGCCTCCTTTCCCCAAAACGTTTTGGTGTTTTGCTCTTAATCTCTGGCTGTGCCCCATAACCGCTTGCAAAGTGGATCAGCCTCTATGTCTCCTTTGCAGCTGGATCATGTCAGTGGGGCAAGAAGCTGCCTGGCCAAGGGATTTTCAGCTGCATGTCCATGGACTACATACATCCCTGCTGCCTGGCTCATGTGGGGTGAGATGGGACAGGCAGATGTCACCTTTCCTCTTATGCTGTTGCTGCTGGAGGGACCCAACCAAAGGCAAACGGTGTTTGCAAAGTTACATGTGTGCCGGTGTAGCTTGGAGGTGCCTCGTGGAAGAGGGAGGACCTGATGGCCCTGGTGCTTCCCTCCAGCACATAGCTGAGCCAGAGCCAGAGCCAGAGCACTGGCCTTCTCCACCCTGCCCTGACCATCCCCTGCCCCCTACAAGCAGCAACCCCTTTCACTTAGTGATACAAGAAGGGTGAGCTGGCCACGGCTCTATTTTTGGGGTTGCATGGAGCTGAGTGCCCTGTGCTAAGCCTGTTGCCCATGGTTGTGCAGAACCCTGGTCCTGCACTCCCCGGGCTGCTGAGCCCCCCCAGCTGGGAAGTGGGGTGGTCTCTTGAGGCCAGCTTTAGGGTGCCATGAGCAGCCCATAAAATGATGCTCAAATCCTTGTGCCAGAGCCATTCAATGGGCTGGGGCTCTGCCTTGAGCAGCCATTGTGGTGTCCAAATTCGGTGTGGGACTCTACTCCTGCCCTTGGATCTGATCTTGCTTGCTGGGCTTTGGAAAGGACTTGGTTTTCTCTGTGCCTTTTTTTTTTAATAAAAGTTGCTCTTTCTAAGATGCTCCTGATCACCTGCTCATGGGCTGGAACTGGGACCAGTTCACTTCCCTTCTTCTGGCAAGAGGAAAAAAAGGCAAAAACCTGAGACAAATGTGTCCTGGGAGGGGTAAAAGCAGCCTGAGACTCTTCCCTTCTCATTACAGCACCTTGGATGCGGGGCAGGGGCTGAGTGAGCCCGGTCAGGGCTGTGATGGAGGGTCTGGTCCTCCACTCACGGCAGCGCTGCCTTATCAGTGTCCCTGGCCCTAGAAAGTGACAGCTGGCTGGCTTGTGTCAGCCCCTTGGGCACTCACGTATCTCAGTCCGGAGGGTTTAAAATAGCAAATCTCTGAGGCCACACAATAGCTTGGGCTTATATGGGCTCCTGGGGGGGAAGGGGGAGCAGCGGAGGGGGCCGGGGACACGGCTGCCGAAATAGCAGCTCACAAGTGTTGCATTCCTCACTGGGCGCCGGGCACATTCCTGCCGGCGCTGCCCGCCCCGGGGTGGGCGCTGGAGCCCCCTTAAAGCCTCCTGCCCCCAAAGAGCATTTCCCAGACACCCACCGGCTTCCCCTCAGCTCCCCGGGATCTCACCAGCGCCCGTGGCAGAGGTAAGGCTGGGGTGGTGGGGTGCCCGCTCCTGGTGTAGGATGCTCAGTGGAAGGGCAGTTGTTAAAGTCCTAGAAGAGATTTGGCTCAGGGTTTATGCTCCTCCCCAGACACTTGCACTGGGATGTAGTTTCCATGAAGGCATTCCCACGGCTAAAGCATCAGGACCCTCTCCAGGGGGTTGTGTTAGTGACTTGCCCAAAGCCTTTTGAACCACCTCCTTGTGTGCCAAGGTGGCTGAGAAGCATTTTGGCTGTCCTGGTTCCAGGGGAATCTCATGGATCCCTATTCCCTGTGTCTCTGGAGGGGACAGGGGATGGGATGCTCATGGGAGGGTCGGGCTAGCCTGGTCCTGGCTCACTGGCAGTCCATAGGGTGGGTTGGAGGTGGGATGCTCCTGGGCATGGCCTGACCCTGCCAAGCAGGAAGGGAGCAGCGATGTGACCCATGCTGGAACAAATGCTGGGAAATGAGAGCTCCATGTCTGGGTAGCCTGGAGAAAAGCAGGGACTGCAAATCGTGGAGATTTTACTCAGCCTCAGCGGTGTGATCAGCAACCCTGAGCTAATGGAGAGGGGGATTTTAAGGAGCAGGAGGGATATCTGCATGATTTAATACACAGCAAATGATGGCAAATTTTTTGCAGTCAATAATATGTGCAATGTTTTCTCTTTAACTCTGTAATATGTCTGCTGGGTTCTCCTAATTCTTTCAAAAGGATTTCAAAGATTTAATGGAAAAGTTTATCTGTTTCTGTGCAAAGGATGGATAAATACTTCCTAGAGCCACTTTTTTTCTTGTGTACCCCTTTAACAGTCCTGGATTTTTTGCTGTTCCTCAGCAAATGCTCTGTGGGATCTAGTGATGTATGAGAGGAGGTGACTGTAAATATAGAAATAAGCTTTTGCAAATGTGTATTTGTGCTGCCGTGGCCAGAAGAGAGTCTCCACTTGCGTGTCATGAGAGGACCACATGAAGTCTTGGGTGCTCAGAGACCACATACATGATTTGACTGAAATCTGGGGGTAGCAGGACCATGCCGAGCCTGGGGGAAAGTAAAGCCAAGAATTTATGTTTGAGGGGCAGTGGAGATTGAGGTGCTGGAGGGAGGTGCTTAGGGCCAAGCCTCAGATCCATCAGAGAGAAGGGAATGACGACGGCAGAAGCAGGTGGTGAACCCGAGGCACACGGGGCTGAGTTCTGACTTCATTTGACTCCAAAAAGCACCTTCTGAGTCATTGCTCAGAAGTGAGATTTGACAACCCCCCGGGAGCCGCGGGAATGTGGAGGCACCCCTCCTGTAACGCGTCTTTCCCGTGCTTGTGGATTCCAGTCCTGGATTCAGCATCTTGAATAAGCGATCCCGAAGCCTGTCCTACCCATCCTGGGTAATAAATGCTCAACAGATGTAGCCAGGACCAGTTGTTCCCGGATACCCGGCAGCAGGAGAAGCAAAGCGGCGAGGCTCTGGGAACAGGTGGTTTAGCCCATGGAAGTTATTTCTAGAGCAGCCTTGTGCTGTCCTGCTGCATCTCAGCCTTGCTGAGGTCTGGCATGAACACGAGTGGTGGACAGGCTGTGCAGGGGCTTGGGCTGATGCTCAGGGCTGCTCTGGGATGCCCAGGGCTGGGGCTGATCATGGGGCTGGTCTGTGCAGACCTTGCGGTGGAGCATTGGGTTGAAGTTAGATGAGATGAGACAATGAGTAAAGTCCTCCTGACCACAGCAGGGAGGGAGATTGATGTGCTGGGAAGATGAGTATGGCCATTTCTGCAGTTATTAGCCTTATTGCTAAACCAGGCTGTGAATTATTCCTTTTAGCTAAGCTCAGT